TCCACCAAAGTTTTGTGACCCGAGGAACCCATCATCGGAGGAATTCGGATCCGGGGCGGAGGCTGTGGCATTCATGATGATCTTGAGGGTGTTGTTGTGTTTGTTGTTTTGGTTTTGGTTTTGGTTTTGGCCATGATGTTTTTAGAACAAAGAGAAATGGTCTAAAAGAGTTTGAAAGTCAACTATTTACATATTCTGATAATAAAAGGGAAATTTGATTGGGGAGGGTATATTTGGATTTCAACTAATAATGAACTTTAAAAGTTATGTCAATGATGAAAAGATATATATAAAGCAAAAAAGTAGAGTGTATTTGAAGAGGCTTCTTGTGAATATATATATAGTGTATTTTTTGTAAGCTGTCATTTCTCACTCGATATTTAATATTCGATATTTGCTTTGAGATTTGACTAATTTAAATTTACATCAGAGAATTTTATCGTTAAGACGCTCAGTGACTAAGTCAGAAATTTCACTAAAAATGTTTAAGATTTAATATATATAGACAAAAAGTAGTATTTAACTTACGTAACAATATGATTTTTCGAATGTCAAACTAATCATCCTTCACTAGTTGTAGCTTCACCCTGAAGTGCTCCCTACCACGAGAGGTGGAGGCGGAATTTAAATATGAGGGGTTACTGAATTATAGGATAGCGTCATCAGATTTTAGTGATTGAATTCTGAATTTAATTTTTGTACTTATTTAATGAATTTCTAAATACAAATTTGGAATTTGGACTAAGCCGGTTGAACCCGTAGGTAATCTTCCAATAAGAGGACTTTATTTTTAAAATTCGTATCTCGAGATTTCTAATTAAAGATAGCAGAGTATTTATATATTGTTTTCTAATAAGTAGTTCATTTCATGTTAGGGGTGTTAGGTTTGAGATGTCAACGGTTGGCCCATCTTTTTCTTCAATGTTTTGATTCATGTGAGTAACGTCTTTCTTTCTAGCTAGCTAGAAAATTATTAAACTTTATCCACTCATTTATTATCTGTATTTTATGAATATATTAAATTATATTATTGTTTTCCTCTATTATTCCCCACCCCTAACTTTAGGTTAGTTAGGTTTGATTAATCTGAATTCTTGAGGGTATATTAAATTTACATGATAGTCCCTATTTTGGGAATGTCCAGTGCCAAAGTCATTGAATGTGTAAGTCGTTAATTCTGGATTAAATAATTAATGTACTTTGTTTGCTGAGTTACGGGCGAACTATTTTAAAGAAGACTCCTCATTCATTACATAGAGAAGATCACCAAGATTTCGCGATCCATTATTGAATTTAATCTAATTCCAAGAGCTCGGATTGGATTGATATATTTAAAATAAAGTTCAATGACTCTATATGTAAAACTCGAATATGATATCTTCGATATCTCATTATAATACAAATTGATTTTATTTGGTTCATGAGATTCATTTAAAAAGACGTAATTAAGTCTGTAGATATATGTAATTAAAAATATATTTTCTTTAATAGATCAAGTTTTTAAATGAAATAAGCAATTTATGATGTGGAAATGTGAAAGTTGCTACACATTTTATTTTACACGTTTGGTCCCCTTCCTAATTCTAAACATTTTTTTTTACTCAAACATTTTGTTTTCAATAAGACCATTTCTGTATAGATTTTTTTCAAAATTAAATTCTAAACATAAATGGTCCTATTGACAACAAAATATTGACTAAAAATTAGTCTAAGAAAAACTCAGTATGACTTTGAAGACTTGGTTTTGATGTCAACATCAATCATGCAATAAATTGTTAAGAATTCAAACTTTTAATCTAACTACTCTAATGGTTGAATAGTTGCACCACTTAACTAATTATAGAGTCTTCATCAATCAGAATTGTGATGAGATATTTGAATTTGTTGCAGTTTTAATCAAAGATTTCGATTCAGATCGCTGAGAACGAAAAAAATCATGTTAAGTGCAATTTCCTAAGAAATGAGTCATGCAATAATTTTTAAAGCAATGATAAAGTTATTTTTATGTAAAATAATGATACATATAATTATCTCCATGTAATTTAGAAGTTACTGATTCTAATCATGAAAACAATCGATAGTACTTATATTAAGATAGCATGCTCTTATTCGAACCTTACTAACACGGTTTGCTTTGTGTACCTGTTTGCCATTCTCATTTTGAAAATTTTACAAATGCTTATTTCAACTTATTTGTATGCTTGTTGTGTATTGTGTATTGTATCATATTTTTAGTTTAAATATAATATTTTTCATTTAAATTTTATCGTATTGTATCCTTAAATTCATAGTTTAGTAATAATGAAAAGTCTCATTTTGTATAATAATTGATTTGGTGTTATTCCATCGCTATCTTATATTTACTTCTCATTTTATTTTATTTATTTATTATTTAATTATCTTATTTTATCATTTTATAGCTTCTCTATACCATAATCGTTTTTTTTAATTTATCATACAAATTATTTATATATGCGGTTACATAACAATAAAAAACTATACCATATATATTTAAATGTTATACTCTCAATTTCACCACAAAACTCTAAGACCGTTGTATTCCGCCCTAAAGTGCATATTTTATGTAAGAGTTAATGCTTAAAAACACATTTAAAGTATGAACTGATTGCGAGTTTTCATTCCTAGCTAACCTATATCTAAGGATGCGTGGTGTACACTCTCTTTTTCCATTTAGAAATGGTGTCAAATGACACTCTAAGGGGATAATTATAGAAATTAATTGGATTTTTTAAATTATTGAGTTAGGTTTCATGTGGATGAAATTTTATGGGCAAATAAGTTATCTCGTACTTTTTGACGATTGCATTCAAACATCCGATCTAGTTATATGGACAAAATATGTTAATCGAAAGGAAGGTGTTAAGCACCTTTCGAGTCTCGTGTTCTAAAATGATTGTTATGAATAACTATTTAAATCTTATACTATTCTATTTATATGTTTCCTTGACATCCCAAAGTTTTGTCCGAAAACGACCTCCGTTTTGGCATTGATACTTTGGGACACAAAAAAAGATACATTTATTTAAAACGAGTAAACAAACAAACAATCAAACAACCTAGAATTTGCCTTCCCGCCCTAATCATAATGCTAAAGGTCTTTTAACAAATAAATAAAAACAATCGTGATAACGCTATCAACTTCAATAAAAGAACTCGAATTGTAACATTATAATATCTCAATAAAAAAAACTATATTGTAAAAATAAAATATCAAAAAACGAATATTTGAGTATTATCCACTCTAATACTATTCTAAATCTCATCATAAATTTCAGACTCCGTCACTCCTAACAATAAACTTAACCATTTCTTATCAGAACTCGTAACTGAAATCTCTGTTTGCCGGTTTTCTGAAGATCCCGCCATTGATATCCAGTTTTCGAAGATCAAATCAAAATTCCAGTTCGTAATCACATCTTCGATATTCAGAATCTCATCTTCAACAAGCTTCTCTTCTTCCGCAGAGATAAAATTATCAATCGAATCAAAATTTCGTTTCGAAGTCACAACTTCTTCTTCTTCTTCATCGTACTTTTTCTTCTTTTCTATTATCTCTTCAAAACTAATCAGTGATTTTCTCTTTCGCGAGATCGAATCGTGATTTTCTGGTGATTGTTGAAGCGCCATTGTTGGTTGATTTTGAAGAAAAGGGGGGAAAACAGAGTATAATGAGAATTAATTTGTTTGAGGTACCTTTTTATAGAGATTAAATTATAGGGTTTTTTTGCTTCCTATATTGAATCGGAGAATAGTTTCCGATTCCATTTCCGATTCCGATTCATATTATCTACTTGCAATATTAGGGCTCTCAATTTCATCGGGAAAACTCCAAGTTCAAACTTCAAATAAATATAACTATAACACTTGATTAACATTTTCTAATCTAATTTAACCGTTTCAGAATCAACTTTAGATTCGACTATGAAGTTCCAAAAAGTTTTAAGCAATACAAGTTTGAAGTTGTGCTTGCCAAAGCCCGACTTCAAATTTGCATAAGTTTGAACTTTAGATAAATATCTTTTTAAGTTAAACTATAACACTTGACTAACATTTTCGAACCTAGTTTAACCGTTTCAGAATCAACTTCAGATTCGACTATGAAGTTCCAAAAAAGTATTAAGCAATACAAATTTGAAGTTGTGCTTGCCAAATCCCGACTTCAAATTTGCATAAGTTCAAACTTTAGATAAATATCTTTTTAAGTTAATTATAACATTTGATTAACATTTTCGAACCTAGTTTAACCGTTTCAGAATCAACTTCAGATTCGACTATAAAGTTTCAAGCAATACAAGTTTGAAGTTGTGCTTGCCAAATCCCGACTTCAAATTTGCATAAGTTCAAACTTTAGATAAATATCTTTTTAAGTTAATTATAACATTTGATTAACATTTTCGAACCTAGTTTAACCGTTTCAGAATCAACTTCAGATTCGACTATAAAGTTTCAAGCAATACAAGTTTGAAGTTGTGCTTGCCAAAGCATAACAAATTTGCATAAGTTCAAACTTTAGATAAATATATTTTTAAGTTAAACTATAACACTTGACTAACATTTCCGAACCTAATTTAATCGTTTCAGAATCAACTTCAAATTCGACTATGAAGTTCCAAAAAGTTTCAAGCAATACAAGTTTGTAGTTGTGCTTGCCAAAACCCGATTTGAAATTTGCATAAGTTCGAACTTTAGTAAATATCTTTTTAAGTTAATTATATATAACACTTGACTAACATTCCGAACATAATTTAACCGTTTCAGTATCAACTTCGGACTTTACTTTGAAGTTCCAAAAAGTTTCAACCATGCATGTGTGAAGTTGTGCTTGCCAAAACCTAACTTCAAATTTGCATAACTTTAGATAAATATTTGCTTTTGGAAGTTAACTTTTAACACTTCACTAACTTTCTCGAACTCTACTAATACGAAATGTTTCGTACATCAAACTGCGCTAACAATAATTTCAGCTCCATATAAATATGCAACAACTTTGAATTTTCAGTTCAAACAAATGAGTAAACTCTGTAAAATTAGCTGCAAATTTGAACCAAAATCCCTCAAAAATGGTGTAACTCAATCTTTTTTCAGATTCTTCACAGTGTCATCATCTTTATCATCTTCACATCATCGCTCCGAAGAAGAAAACTATCCTACTATTCGCCGTAATAGAAGAACCCAACGTCATTATTTAAGCAAATTATTATTCACATTATCTGCAACCCATTATAAAGAAATCCACACCCAAGTGATTCTTTCTGGATTTGAAAGCAACCCTTTTCTTAACAACATCTTGATTCAATCGTATTCGATTCGGGGGTGTTTGGGCTATGCACGCAAAGTGTTTGATAAAATGCCTAAAAGGGATATGATTTCTTGGTCTTCAGTTATTACTATGTATACCCAAAATGGGGTTTATGATGAATCTTTGTTGCTTTTTGCTGAGTTGAGGAGAAGTTGTAAAGAGGGGGAGGGGCCAAATGAGTTTGTTTTGGCTAGTGTTGTTAGTTGTTGTGGAAGGTTAGGTAGTATTGTGAAAGGTGAGGAATTGCATTGTTTTGTGGTTAAAGCTGGTTTTGATCAGTTTGTGTATGTAGGGACGTCTTTAATTGATTTTTACTCGAAGGGTGGAGATGTAGGGTCAGCGAGGCGAATTTTTGATGATTTATTGGTGAAGAGTACGGCTACTTGGACTGCGATTATTGCAGCGTGTGTGAATGTGGGGAAGAGTGAAATTTCCTTACAGCTATTGAGGAATATGTTGGAGACTGATGTTGTTCCTGATAATTATGTGGTTTCGAGTATCTTGGGTGCTTGTTCGTCGCTTGAGTATATTAAAGGAGGAAAGGAAATTCATGGTTATGTGCTTAGACGGGGAGTGGAGATGGATGTTACGGTGAGTAATGTTCTTATTGATTTCTATATGAAGTGTGGTAAGGTTAAGACTGCAAGGTCAGTTTTTGATCGGATGCAAGTTAAAAACACTATTTCTTGGACAACGATGATCTCTGGATACATGCAGAATTCTTCTGACTGGGAAGCCATAAGCATGTTTAGAGACTTGAACAGTTTGGGTTGGATGCTAGATAGATTTGCTTGCAGTAGTGTACTTATTTCATGTGGGTCGGTTGAAGCTTTAGAGTTGGGAAGACAAGTGCATGCTTATACCGTGAAAGCTAATGTTGATTCTGATGACTTTGTGAAGAATAGCTTGATTGATATGTACGCGAAATGTAATTCATTTGGTGACGCAAGGAAGGTTTTTGACATTATGGGTGACCATGACGTAATCTCTTACAATGCTATAATTGAGGGTTGTTTGACGCAGAATAGGCTATATGAAGCTTTTGATCTATTTGCTGAAATGAGAGATAATCTGATTCTTCCAAGCCTTTTGACTTTTGTTAGCCTGCTCGGTGCATCAGCTTCACTTTTCTCCTTGGAGTTAAGTAAGCAACTTCACGGTCTTACCATAAAATTTGGTTTTTCTGCTGACATGTTTGTTTGTAGCATCCTAATAGATGTTTACTCGAAATGTTCATCTATTGAAGATGCGAGGCAAGTATTCATTGAAATGAATGAAAAGGATATTGTTGTATGGAATTCTATGTTGTTTGGGTACATACAGCAGTGTGAAAATGAAGAGGCCCTAAAGTTCTTCCTAGAATTGCGGCAGTCTTTGCAAAAGCCAAACGCATTGACTTTTGTTGCCCTCATTGCTGCATCTAGTAACCTAGTAAGTCTGCTTCATGGTCTCCAGTTTCATAACCAGATTGTAAAACTCGGCCTAAATTTTGATCCGCATGTTACAAATGCACTCGTCGATATGTACTCCAAGTGTGGAAGCTTGGAAGAAGCACGTAAAATGTTTAATTCCACTATCCAGAGAGATATCGCGTGTTGGAATTCTATGATATCCACTTATGCACAGCACGGAGAAGCAAAGGAAGCTCTTAATATGTTTGAGAAAATGATAAATGATGGATTGAAACCCAACAATGTCACCTTTGTTGGAGTGCTTTCAGCATGTAGCCATGTTGGTCTTGTCAAAGAAGGATTGCGTCACTTCCATTCCATGGCCGGGTACGGTATTGAACCAGAAACGGAGCATTATGTTTGCATAGTGTCTCTCTTGGGTCGAGCTGGTAAACTGGTCGAAGCAACGGAATTCATTGAAACAATGCCAATTCCACCGGCCGCCATTGTGTGGAGGAGTTTGCTTAGCGCGTGTAGAGAAGCTGGTCATATAGACCTGGGTAAATATGCAGCATCGATGGCAATATCTATAGATCCAAAAGACAGTGGATCATATATCCTACTTTCAAATATTTATGCATCTAAAGGCATGTGGATCAATGTCAAAAAGTTAAGAGAGAAAATGGATAGCAATGGCGTAGTGAAAGAAAAAGGGTGTAGTTGGATAGAAATAAACAATGAGGTGCATTTGTTTATCGCAAGAGACCGAAGTCATCACCAAACTGATTTGATACATTCATTTTTGGAACTTCTGATTCGGAATATAAAAGGGATCGAATATGTTCCTGAGGATACTACCTTCTCAAATGAGTAAAATCTCTATGTCATCTTTGCCGTGGTATGTGAAGAATTTCTTCTTTGAATCTTCTTCTTTTTTCCGCAAGTTTTTCCCTATTTCTCTTACTTTTCCGTCTGTTGAGTAACATCGACGTCGTATTTGCTTATTCATTTTCTTTAGAATAGTGACCTATAGCATTAGCAGCAGCATCTCTTATCATTCTTCCAGAAGTTTAGCCTTTGGATTTAAAGATTCTCTCTGTACTTACTCATTTTCTTATTCATGTTTCAGATATGCTATTAGCAAGAACGCTGTGATCCAGGCGGTCGTAGATGCCCAAAATGACAATTAGAAGCAAGACATTATATTAGAGTTCTATTGCTGTCGAAAGGTGAGGCACTTAAGCTGGACCACTTCCAATGTAATCATAAAATCTCATAAATCTTGGTTTTCACTTTTCGATAAATTAAACTCAAGGATAAATGCCGTGTACTCATGGCTTCATATGCTCAGCATGTGCTTAAGTATCTCTTATAGATAGCATTTCATAGGCTTGTAACCCTAGCTATATATTTGTGCTTTGTGTATCGGCTATATGAATCCTCACTTTTACATTTAAGCTCATTTCATATCACTAAACAAAATAAACATTAAAAATAGCTAAATATATCTCTAACAAGTAGTATACCCTTCTTTTGTTTGTTTTGTTGATGTGTTATATCACTTTTTAGTCTCTCTCTCTCCTATTTCTTAGCAATGAAGCTAATGAAGTACATCTAATCCAGTCATGCAAACAGCAGCCAGTGTCATTCTAAGATTAACTTCCTGATGCTACAGTTTTACCTTTAATTCGCCTGTATCTTGGAGTTTGAGAAAAAAGAAGTGGAAATATACCTATTGACTAGACTATACTGTACTTTCCATTATTTATGTCTCTGTGTGTGCATATATATGACTGGACATACTTCAAGTAGTCAAATTTTCTTTTCATTTGGCAGGTTTCTTCTTTGGTTTGGCAGTGGAGCTTTATCCAATCAACTCAGGACAAAACTGAACCAATATGAACTCTTGCAACAAGGTATCTGCTCTGAATGAAAGATATCCAAGCATAAGGTGTGGTACTCCAGATGGAATCTTGCCGAATATGGTCGATTGGGAGAATATTTGTTACGTGCTGTGGTGCCGCTAATATGTTGGGACATGCATCAACCCAACAGGGTCCTTAGGCAGTTTGGGATGTGTGTCAATTCATACCAGTTGCTTGCAATTTTGTGGATAATCACTACATGCATGATCATCATGACTGAGAACGTGCAAACCGTGTTTGTGAAGCCTCAAAAACAAATATACCCTTTGTGTATGATGACGATTGACGGCTACCTCAGATAGGATCTTCTGATTACTCGACAGATTATTGGGAATCCTAGATTTCATTTGCCAGAAGGGAATGCATCATTTGTACCAAGGTGTGAGATCGTTGTTGCATGTAGACTCAATAGTTACACACAATTATGCTCAAATCCAATTTCGTGGTGTCGTCCTACCAAACAGGTTCTCAATGAAAAGCAAGAATACGAACGATGACACTGTAAGTCTTCTTGATATCATTTAGTTATGACCATTGTGAGCAAAGTCAAATGATTTGTGTTGTTGTGGCTGCATAGTTTTAGTATAGTAAGATGTGGCAATTGAGATATCCATTGAGCTATTAGTGATTGATTGATTTGCTAGAAGTAGTACTTGGATGATAAATTCATAAGGCTATTTCCTGTTTAGTTGCTAATACTCCAAAAACTACGGATAAACTAGTTTGACCAGCTTATAAGCTTAGCCAAACAACTTCACAAATTGAAATTTTTAGCCTTATTTAAGAGGAAAGCCACATGAAAAACCAGGACTATAGAAGTAGTAATTGCACCAACAAGGGTTGTGGTGGAGCAAAGTCCCCCCGAATACGGAATCGCCTTTGTTAGGGGACGCTTTTCTCCTTTATGTGGGACTTCCCGGCGCGAATCCGGATTTAGTCGGGCTCCAATGTGAGTACTGGACACTGCGTGGGAAACCAAAAAAATTAATTGTAATTGCATTCAGTAACCAATCTTCACCTTCCCATTTAAGCTATACCAACAACAACAATACACCGAGTGTAATCCCACTAGGTGAGGTCTGGGGTGTGGGCGAGGTTAGGGTGTTTGCAAACTTTACTCCTAGTGTGGAGGTAGAGTGTTGTTGTTTCCGAAATACCCTCAGCTCAAGTAACTCATAACAAAACAATGTTAAAAATAACATAAAGACGCAAAGCAGACATAACAAATAATAACAAAATCGTAACATAGCAATCAAAAAAAGGCACACTAACAACATCTCAAAACAATGCGATAACTGAAGCAAAGAACAACGAATATTAACAGAAATCAAAAGGCAAGAAATTACGAGATTAGTGCTAATGCTACTGGAATGCACGGAGACCATACTCGACAAATCAAACTTCAAAACTTCAAATATTTTGTTCAAAGTTTGAGACTGTCAAGCCAAACTCGGATAAAATATTTCTCAAAGTTGGTTTCGAAGCGATTAAACTTGCAAATTTTTATCACTACAACAATAGCATAAATATTAGTTTTTGCCCCTCTTTAAAAAATGTAAGAATGATTTAAAGGATTTTATCAAAGGCTAGGCCCAATCTTCATATTCTATACATTTTCATCCTAAGTCCATTTTTTTTATATGTTTGAGGAATTGACACAGACATACAACTATTATATATAATTGGCAATATATAGCCCAAATTAATTAGCAATTAATAGCCTAAAACAAAATTGTTCAATTCATGGCTCACCAAGTGATAGAAAATTGTTTATTTTGTCATGGGATAATTATTGTTCCCTTGGGTGATCTAGTTTACAAAATAGTCAGCAAATGTATAGGTTTTGTATATTTAAGTATAATATACATAATCAAAGTATTATTTTATATATTTCGGCTATATTAGTAAATACGTTTTCAATAGATCATATTGCAATCAGTCAACTTTGAAAGTTTTTTTTTCTTTTTGGTTTCTCACCCGGTGTCCGTACCCATATTGGAGTTCGATAAAATTCAGATTCGCGCGGAGAAGTTCCACATTGTGGGCTGGGGGGTAAAACGCTCCCTAACAAAGGTGACTTCGTACCAGGAGGACTCGAACTCGAGACCTTTCGTTAAGGATGAAAGAGTACTTATCACTCCATCACAATCCTTTGTTTGTAACTAAGAAAGATTTGGTGATGCTTCCTCCACTTTATTTTATGTAGTACTATTTTGGTTAGTACATAAAACTTAGGATATACATTTAATTTGTGTACTTGATTGATAGATAGTACATAGAAGAAAATATTTGTTTAGATAATAATGGAAAGTATTGACAAAGACATCAAATTTTAAAATTTGAATAATTAAACTATTTTGAATTCTTGAACATTAATTTAGAATGGAAGATCTAGTGTTAAAGATTTTATAGTTTTTTTAAAATAGAACAAAAATTTGGATGGAGTGCTATCACTTGCTTAAATAAAAAGCTTCCACTTCATTATAGGTCCCTATAATTATTGAAGGATTCTTGTAATTATATTAGGTTTAAAGAGATCCTAATTGGTGTTTAACATATTTATTAATTGATGGAATAACCATTCAAAGAGTTGATAGTGTTTATAGTTTCTTGATTTGGTGTTTGTTACTTGCTATAAACTTTGGCTAATTTAGATTCGCGACTGAAAGTATTTCTTACATAATATGACTCTATTTTTCAAGATTCAACCTAACACCTCTGTGATTCAGAATGAAGGGTGTGCTTACAGTTCTATCAACTATGTTCCTAGGTATCGAAATGAGATTAAGGGGTGCTTACAGTTCTATCAACTACGTTCCTAGGTATCGAAATGAGATTAAGGGGTGCTTACTATCTCATTGACTCTATTTTCAAGACTCGAGCTTGAAATATATGATTAAGAATGAAAAGGTTTAGTGATTACCAATCAGATGTTATATATCGTTCGAGAAAGGGTTGCACCCCAAGGGCAACAACCTATATTTTGCACAAGTCTTTCTTAAAATAAGGTTCAAAATTTTATTTTATTTTTTTCTAAAAAAAAAAAGAGAAAAGAAAGGAAAAGGTTAGAAAAAAGGAAATAAATTGAGAAGTCAATTCATGAAAGTTAAAAGAAGAAATAGGGAAAAAATAATTGCCTTTCAATGTTTGATATAGTGTTATTCTCTTCCACTTTCCTTGGGCCAAATCTAGCAACTATGAAAGTAATTATAAAGAGTAAACATCATTATCAATAGATATCAATTATGTATTTAAGATCTTTCTTAATAGATGGACTTGACATTGTGTAAATCTCAAGATTTTACTCTTGGAAAGAGAGCCACTATTGATAAGTCCTTTCACTTTTTTATAATCTACCAAATAATGCCTTAAAAAGCATTGTTTCTAGGTTGTGATTCATAACCTCTTTGGGAAGGTAATTTGGAGTTTTTGGCTAAAATCATCCCTGAAGTATGACATAAACTTAAAGTACATCCTTGTGTTATATAAGTGAACAAAAAACATTCTTGAACTATTCAAAAAGTTGCAAGATTCATCCTTCTGTTTATTTTTTTTTAAGAAACTCACGCCACTAACAAAAAATGTGTCAAGTCGAATGAATATATGTACACATGGTTAAGCTAGTCAAGTTAAGTGATTTTTTTAATTTTTAGAAATTGAGGGTTTAAATCATATTCAGACAAAATATATTGAAATTCTAAATATTCTTTGTAAAATATGGCCAAATACTACTCCAATTTCAAAATTTTCGAATACAATAATTTTTATTTTATTTTTATAACTAAACGCCTACGTAATTTTACTAAAATTTCAGCATTTATATACATTGTATAAAATGCGAATTGCATTGTATATATAGTACATACGCCCTAAATATTTTATTAAAGAAAACCTCTAAATAGTTGGACGTAATATTTTTAAAATGATTTTTTTTACATAATCTTTCTAATCATCGGAACCTACTGTATAAATATTTCAAAACTTATGTATTGTTGCAAGTCAATTTATTTGATGATGCAAAAAACATATGAACTAACAACACACAAAATTTAAATTCCGATAATGAAAGATTCATTTCCTATCCTTATCCTTATTCTTTTTAGGTAACTTTGATCTTCTCGTCATGGCAAGACATGACCAAATTTTATTTTTTTTATTGGTTCAACCAGTTTCTTAACAAAAATAGATTGAAGGATGATTCTTGTTATTTTTTAGATAATATAAGGATGTTTTTTGCTCACTTAGATAATATAAGGATGTACATTAGATTTGAGTCATAGTTGAGGGATGATTTTAGCCAATAACTCAGGTAATTTGAGTACTATGTCATTGTCATTGTGGTGGGATAAACAAGATTATTTCACTCATAAATCTTAATTAAAAATTTCGAGTTCAAAGTATAAAACATTTTCAATGGATATTAGACGTCAAATGAGAAATCAAAAAAGCATTATGTTTTTTTAATGGATCTTGCATAGCACGAATTCAGATTGATCAAGTGTTTTGGTAGAATGAATAAAATCACTCTATTTTTTAATTAGAGTCCTTAAATTCGAGTCATAAGAATGATAGAAACTTTGATACAAAACACCTTTCTCTTTAACAAGTTTTACGTTGCTGATTAATCTGAACTCCAAAACGGATACTGAAACTAATAATAATAAAAAGTACTATGCCTATCATCTCCTTTTATATGATACCTTGTTAACTTTCTTTATCACATAGTACTTCTTTTAATTAGTTTCCATTTTCCTTGTGGCAAATGTATCAAGATGAAGTAGCTTTATATGGTGAGTACCATCATTGTCAATAGATATTAATATGCATCAAAATTCTTGCTTAATATATAGACTTGGCATTGTGTAAATCTTCTCAAAAGTTGACACTTGGGAAGATAGCCATTATTGATAAGTCCTTTCACTTTTTAAATCTACCAAATACTGCCTTAAAAGGAATTGTTTCTAGGTTGTGATTCATCACCTAGTTTGGAAGGTAGTGGAGTAATATGTCTCCATCAAAGGTTGTGACGGGATGAATTTTAAAAAAATAATCTATAATCAAAGGTCTTATGTTCGAGTCCTGAAATAGGGGATGGACCAACTTTTAAGGTATGAGTTCAGTAGAACTTTAATAGTTTTGATTCAAATTTTGTATACACAATGTGAATCTAAATTAATCGAGGCTTCAGAATAGGTTGCGATATTGAATGGGATAAACCAAAAAAAGTACTATGCCTATCATCTCCTTTTGTATAGTAGGTTGCTAATTATTTCAATTATACTTTTCAAATCTTTTGATTTAATTACAAGATATGTTCACAATGATAATTTACAATTGTACCATAGATGTACCTCTTATAGCTTCTTTCCTTTTAAGTCAAGAATAAAGATGAGATTTTTGGAAATGATTTTCATGTTAAAATTATATTATATATATAATAATATTTTATTAGAACAGTTAATTAATTTTGAACAAACAACGTTATTATAAAAAGGCTCGACAGGTTTAATTATACATATGAACTCATTATAACATGAAACTTTTAATGATTAAGGAGGAGCTCTTCTAAAGAATGCTTACCCATTTTTTTCATGGACGTCTTTGATTGGATGGAGACAGATATATAGAAAGTGTGCAGTGATATATTTAACTAAGATATATTACATACTTTTCTTCGAAATATTAGTCCTTCAATTTAAC